ATTGTAAAGATCCACGTGGTGTCATGAATAATTAAGAGACCGTGTCTCCTCATAGGATAAGAAAACTCAGTATTATTAATAATTATGAGACACCGATGAGTCATCAACGCACTCACAGTGCACGGCCACGTCACAGCGGGTAACGTGGACACAATGAAGATTTTAAACCAGGAAGACGAAAAAAGCGTATAAGACAACGAGATAAGACACATGCCTTTGGTGTGAGAGACCCGGGTTCGAATCCACTGTGACAGTGAGACACCAATGTGTCCCTGAACAAGACACTTAACCCCTAGTTGCTCCAGAGGTGTGCGACCTCATATAGCAATTTTAAGTCGCTTTGGATAAAAGCGTGAGCTAAATGAATAATGGCAAACAGATGCTAACATTGTCTTCAATGGTGTTCAACACACATACCTCTGTTAAAATCTCAGAAAATTTGGTTTGGGGCTTCATGACCCTTTAAGCAGATGTTTTCCTTCTCTTTATTTTTTTAATTGAGTAATATAATAATTTATTCATAGACAATTTATTTGAGCACAATATTTGGGGCTCAAGAAACATTTCTTAATATTATCAATGTTGTTAGTGCTTTAACATTTTACCTAGTGAAAATAAATGTTTTTAAAAAAAACATTTATTTAATTTAAGTAATTATTTAAATGTTTTTGTACACTTGAATATTTGCCATAAAAATTAGTGTATTTCAAATAGATTTAGGTATATTTATTGTTCATTAGAGATGTGTTTATCAGGATTCTTAAATGAATAGAAAGATCAGAAACAGCATTTTTAATTTGTAACAATTATAAAAATAAAAAACACTTTCTGACCTCAAACCTTTAAATAGTGAAATCTGTAGTGCATTATCAGATGAGTCATATGCATTAAACTGAATTACATCCGTATTGGCCGATGGGTTTCATTTTTAAAGCATTAAAGTATTACAATTTAGTAACTACATTTTGATGGTAAATAGACCTTACCTGGTGCCCTAGGAGCATGAGCTGTCCAGCGTGGCACAGGCCGCAGGTTTGGTAAAGTGTTGTAAATAGAGCGAACCTGATGCTAGACAAGCATGTATGCAAGTTCACAAAGCATAAGTAATGCAGATAATGTAATCATCATGTTAAACCAAACATGCATATAAACCTTTTCACTCACTTGCGGCACAGAGGTCATGTAGTAACCAGAGCTCTGCTGGTAGGTGGTGGGTATTGCAGGGTTGGGGATGGCTCGAATGCTGGCTAGTCTCTGCATGTACTGATTGGTGAGGATGGCTTTTCGCTCCTCTTTTCTCTGGGCAAGAGCCACATAAAGTGGTTTAGTGCTAACAATACGGCCATTCATCTCAGTCACTGCCTTTGTGGCCTCTTCGGGAGAGGAAAAACATACAAAGCCAAAGCCCCTACTGTGGCCTCCATCTGTCATCACCTATGCCAAAAATACACAACAGTCAAATAAATGAGACTTAAATGTATTCATCTCAATGTAAAAATGCATAAACAAGAGTGAGAAAATGTCCCCTTTTCTCAATAAGCACTGCCATCTGCATGTAACGTCACAATTAATAAAGCCACCCACACATATAGAATATAACAGAATGGAGCTAGAATGAATTGGAGTTTGCTAAAATAATGGTTATTGGTAAAATATACTGGTATAGGACACACTGTAGCAAATCAATGTAATAACTGCACATAATGTTAAAAATGCAAATAATGTAATAATTATTTCATTATTATTGTAATGTTCATAATGTGATAATTCTCAAAACAAAATCTTGACCACTTAATGTAATAATTTTACATTATGAGAAATGTACTACATTATAAACTCACCCAAAACATGTCATTCATAATTGTAATAGCTTAAAAAAAAAATTAAAATCATAATTTCCTTACAGAATATTTTTAATCTAAATCCAGTCTTATACCAGCTGTGAAATGCAAAAGATTTAAACATTCATGCAATTATTATTGTTACTATAATTATTATTATTGTTGTTGTTATTAAACAAAGCATTGGTATTCCTTTAAAGTACATTTTTAAAATTCAGTCTTAAAGCTGCAGTCTGGCTTTTTTCCTCTGTCGCCATCTCTGTTCGAAATCTGCCATTGCAGTCATTGCGGAATTATCAGCTTTTCGGGAGTTGTACTTCAACACACGACACCTCACAGCACGGGTGAACACAATGTTTGAAAAGACTGTGAGGCTGTCAGTCACCGTGCTCATGTGAATACTGGCACACAGATTATTTTTAAATCTGTAAATTACATTGCAGTAAATCACGCTGATTAAATCTAACAATTGTTTATAAGTTCTCATGCAGAACCGTGCAAATTATACTTTGTTCTTAAAATGTAAATGCGAACAACGTCAGCATTGCGTGACTACATGTATCCTTGTTTTTGCATGGGTCCGGTTGCAGTCTTTTTCTTCTGTAGCCACTCCGAAGTCAGAACGAATTCTTTCGCATTTTACTATGGGTGAATCTGTTGTCACTGGTGATTGTCGTTTGAACCTTTCTTGATCTGCCATCAAATTGATAGGTTTAACTCCAGCATCCTCAAACGCAATATAGCCTATAGCCGAGACTCCTAGGGCTGGGCGATATATATCGTTACCGCGATAGAAAACGTCAGTCGTAACAGCTTTTTTTATTCCGTGTACCGCGAAATGCAAATAAGGGGGCGTGGTTAACTCCCGTGCAGCGCGCGTGACACTGATGCTGAGATTTGTCAAAGAAACATGGAGAAAGTAGATCAAGAAGATCCACAAAGGAATTACATTTTCTAAAGGATTGTTGTTAACGTGATATGTTCGGGGGGAAAGGCAGCAGTCAACTTGAGCAGAGCAGCAGCACCCAGGCTACAGTTTAGAGGAGTGCACGTTCGCAACAGGGAAAGCATGAAGTTACTTGATAACAACATTTCATAGGCTATATCAATATCATTACGAGAAATAGCCTTAAAGTCCCCGTGAACCGGAAGTTGCAAACGATTTTTCTCCAGTGCTGTGACGTATTTCCAAGTGAAACGGAATATTGAACAGAGGGCAGGGTTTTACTCTAGCGCTCCTCCTCTCCATCTCTCGCTCATAGCAAACTAACGGTTTGAGGGGAGTGGTTAAGCGTTTCCCCACCCAAGTTGTGAAACCTACGTCATCAGAAAAAGAAACCGTTCCAGACCGGAAGTAACTTTTCAGATTTTGATTAAAGATTACCAAGGTAAAACATTTTTTAAATATATTTTTACTTGCACGGATTAATTGTTCACCACAAGACTAGTAATATGCGCCAACAAAGTAAATAGGTTCAATTTTGATTTCACGGGGACTTGAAATAATGTATAGTTATCCGCATCTTTCCTTCTCTTATGTATAGTTACTTTTTAAACATGAAAATCGCATTCAGCATGAATGAACATCCTGCTTGTTAAAACGAATGTATAATCCTGTTTCTGAGGCAAAATTACTAAATATGCAGCGCAACTCCAAACAATTGCCTACTGAACCAGTTGATAAAATCTTCTTTTGATTCGATCCGTGATTACAACTTCACTCTCAAATTAAATCGATCGCCTTTTGTTGATGTAAAAGACGCGCGTGCACATGCACTGAGAGGGAGCGCGCGGTGTTCGACGCACTGTTATAAGGCGTGTATAATTTAAACTACTTAGTCAACGCTGCGGTTTGGTTTTCATATTGCTGCTCTCCTTCTTGTCACTTCTGAACTGACGGGTTGCCAGATATAACAAAAAGAGCAAAACAAGCCCGTTAAAACAACAGTGTGTGCAGAGTCCGGTTGTGCAGGAATAGGCCTACCCTTCTCCGTTAAAAACGCAGTATAATAAGCACATGTGGTAAAAAAAAAATATTATAATTATATTATATCTATTATAATTATATTATAAACTGATTGATGAAGTAAAGCAATACATGAGATTGAAAAATTATTTAAAGTTGAAAAGTTGTATTTAATATCAATCTGTTGTGGGAATTTCATCTAAAGGTTTGAGTGTTTTTTGTTTACTATATTTTGATTTAAAAATAGTTTACCAAATAACTAATTTACCAAATAAAATAAAACAAGGTGACATACTTTTCATTTCTAAAGTATTTGGGTTTATTTATTATACAAAGCCCTTTTTGTCTATTTTTTTTTTTTTTTTGAGGATAACTATATGAATAACTATATTGTGAAATATATCGTTACCGTGAAATAAAATTAGTCAAATCGTGAAACACAATTTTGGTCATATCGCCCACCCCTACTCCTTTATGTGTACAGATGTGACGTAATGACTCAAAGACATGCTTGAATCTCCAGCGGAAATCCACCAGTACCACTAGAATTAAAAACATTATTACAACTTACAAGCTTACCGCTTTGAATCGAGCTAAGGCAAACAGATAGTTTTGAACACTGGCTGGTTATGTATTTTCTTAAATATGTATTTTGGATAATTTTTAACCCCCAAAACAGCTACAGACTGCAGCTTTGACCTAAACTTTATTACATTTTGAGAACATTTTATTGTAAATTAATGTAATACGTATTAAATTATGTGCAGTCATAATGAGTCGCTACACACACTAAAACCTTCATGCTAGATTTTAAGAATTTTTTATTAGACTCCTACTCAACTAATTTTCACTATACTCCAACGCATTCTCACCCCAAGGCGTCACCTTTGACCATGCTTCAATATTTGACGTTTTAGGCGATCCTACGGCGTCATCTAACTGACGCTAAAGGAAAGCGTCAGTTAGAGGACGCGGTTAGGTTTAGGTGTGGGGTGGGGGTAGGGTACACGCGATCCTAGGGCGTCATCTAACTGACGCTAAAGGGCGCCTAAAGCGTCAGATATTGAAGCATGCCCAAATGCTTCCCAAGGCGTCAGTTAAGTGACGCCTTGGGGGTGAGAATGGGCTGTATACTCTGTAGTTGTCCTGTTACATTTGTAAAAAGTGTGTAAAGACATGTAACATGTTGTGCTTTACATTACTTTTGCACTAGTGATGGTTCCATAAGGTGCAAACTCTTTCCTCAACTTCTCATCATCAATGCCGTCATCTAGATTTTTTACATAGAGATTAACCCCCTAAAATGAAAAACAATGCATGCATCAAAACATATTCCTAAATATCAACATACAATTAAGCATAAGCAAATCCTTCTCACATGATTAGGATGATATAGAATTCAGGCAGATTTGCAAATGTATACAAGTAACCATGCAGGTAAGCATGTGTGTGTACCTGGTAGCGTTGTATGCGCTCCTGCTTTATTTGCTCAAACTTGCGTTTGAGTTCTCCCTGCCTCTCCAGTCTTTTTTGAGCTCTACCCACATACAGGACCCTGCCATTCAGCTCTTTCCCATTCATTTCAGTTACTGCCTATCACAAAGAGAAGGACAGACTTTAGTCTCCACATCTCTGGGCTATTAAGACGTACCATATAACAATTTGTTGGATTACCCTCCTGGCATCTGTGTGGTTTTCAAAGTTGACAAATCCAAAGCCACGAGAGCGTCCCCTTTCATCAGTCATCACACAGACACTAAGGGTCATACCTGTGAACCAGAGCAACTTCAAGAAAGAGATGCAGAATCCATTTTCTTTTTGAAAAGTGGTTGCCTGGGTATTATAGATCTGGGGTTACACATATACACACACACACACACACATATATGCACACACTCAATTCTCAAAAATGCTCTTAAAGAAAGGACTCAAGCTTTTGTCAAAATTAGGACTTCTTTTCTAAGTTATTCCTGTGATGCAAAGCTGAACTTTCAAGATCATTACTCCAGTCTTCAGTCACATAATCCTTCAGAAATCATTCTAATAGGTTGATTTGCTGCTCAAGAAATGTTTATTCTAATTATCAATGTTGAAAACAGGTATGTCCATTTAAAAAAAAAAAAAAAGATTACATTTCAAAGATCAAAAATAGAATTTTCTATTCAAAGCATCCTGATTTCTTTTTGTACACAGCTGTTTTAAAATTGACAATAATAATGAATGCTTTTTGAGCATCAAATCAGCATATAAGAATGATTTCTGAAGGATCATGTGAAATAACGCTGAAAATTCAGCTTTGCATCACAGAAATGAATTACATTAATTAATTACATAAATCCAAAAAAAAAAAAAAAAAGTTATTAAATAATATTTCACAATATTACTTTTGTCACATTCAAATCAAATAAACACGGCCTTGGTGAACATAAGAGACTTTTAAAAACATTACAAATCTTTAAGGAATAATATCGATCACTAGGTTAGTTCAAAAAGAATACATTGACAATCAAGATTGTATCATTGGATTAAATCCCTGTCATCATATAAGTCCAATATCTTACCGGTATACATTTTCTGAAAAGATGATTTAGGAGCTGAGACCTTAACACGTAGGAAATCACACTTAATTTTAGTCTTATTCCTAAACTCAAGAATATGCAAGTCTTAGAATTTTGACACTGAGACTAAAATTGGAGTGGCTATATGAAGTCAGTGAATCCCTTTACAAAATTGTTTACCAAATTCAGTGAAGATGGTCTTCAGTTTCTCACTGTCAATATCTTCACCAAAGTTCTTAATGTACACATTGGTGAACTCCACGGCTTTAGCCCCCAACTCTGCCTCACGCTCCTTACGAGATTTAAAATGACCCACAAATCTGTAAATGACATAAAAAGACACAAAGAAAATTGGCTTAAAGGTACTCCACTTAAAGGTATATAAAATAAAGGTATATTCATATTTTGAGCTTTGATGTTTATTCATGAACAGAAACCATGGATAGCTGACAAGGACAAAACTCAAAGCACAAATGAAACTATGAAAAGCAGTGGTTTTAATCTTTTTTTGACTCAAAAGCCCCTGTTGTCTAACAAAACATTTTGTATATCCCCGATACACCAAGATATCCCAGTATTCCAGAAGTAATTACGGCAAAGCAGCTGGTTTAATATATTAAATCTCTAAAATAGAAATATTAAATTAACATGGTTAAGTAATTTAATATCATTAATGAACTTGAATTAATTTTGTGATTCCAGAAGTTATGTTCTATTACAGAACTCCATGTTCTATGTCAGTTCGGAAATTTGAATGTTTTGGAGCATTTCAATTTAAATTAGAGTTAGATCTTATGTATATAAAATCTAAACTTTTATTGAATTAAAACAAATCAAAGGATATTGTAAAATGCTATAAAATCAAAAAATCTTTATTATTTAACAAGGAAAGTTTAAGATGTTTTTACGGATCAACTTATTTGTATTTTGACATCACCTTTCCTTTTAATTGCACTTTTTAATCATTTAGCAATTGAGGATTATATCAAGACCCCTTTTGCGCCGACGTCACAGTTACGTCACGGCGCTAGCTGGAGGCAAAACAAAGTGAAAACTGGAGGTGGCCAATACAAAACAGCACAGATTCAGCTACATAATAAGGAGCTTAAATTATTGTTACTATTATTAAATGTCATCTTGTTGTGTTGTTTGGTGCAAGAATTGATGAAAAATGAATATGCTGTATATGAAACTTTTATTTCTAGAAAATATTCACATCATTAAAATCGCACTGTATGTCACTCTTTACATTGTCGTGGTCTCGGCAGAACTGCGGATCATACACACAAGTCTTGTACAGGATCATATAGGCATCTAAAGATTTATATGCCCTCAGTTTCTCTTTACGATCGGTTTCTTTATAAGGTGGGTGTAGAAGTCAGGCCACTCAACCGAGGTAACGTACGTTAATCCTGTCAGATCATCCATGCATTGAGTGAGTGTGTAGGCGGCTACAGGTCGGCCAATCTGGTTCCGTCTGTTAAAGATAAATTTTGGAAATAACAACCGCGGTCCTCGACACTGAGTGACCTTACCAGTGTTGGTCAAGTTACTTTGAAATAGTAATTAGTTACTGATTACTTCTCCAAGAAAGTAATCCAATTACTTTACTGATTACTTATTTTCAAAAGTAATTAGTTACTTTACTAGTTACTTTACTAAGTTACTTTTCAAAAACATGATGCACGACCTGAATACGCTAAAGCATAGACCTTTCAGCCTAATTCTATTCTTTCTGCATATTCCATCATCTATGTAATCAAATTAAACATTTTCTTTTTTTTAAACTTGTTTTATTTCTTTCAATATTTTAACTTTATGCACATTGCATCGAGCAAAAATTAAATGCAACAAAATTAAATGCAACTAGAAGAAAATTTTTGAATTCATTTAAACCTATTTTCTGCACATTCCACCATATTTTAATGAAATAAAGACAGCCCTTCTTCTGTTAATATAAAGTTCTACATATTCCAGCATATAAAATAATTATGTTTTGTAAAATCCTTCATTTGAATAGATGTAAAAATACAGCAAAAAAATCATGAAAGTCGCTCCTGACTATATTACAAATTATTAACACTTACGTCTTTTAACAGTAAAGTGCAGAGAGGAGCAAAAATTAGTTGATCAAAAACGAAAATGCTGTTGCAAGCCGTATTTTGGCTTCAAGTTTTTTTCTGTTTTTTTTTTTTCTTTCGGAGTTAAACAGTGGTTATGTATGTCCCATCAGCATGTAGCCGCAGCGGTCATGTCAGACGGGGGTTCAGGGTTTTTTTCAGTAAGTTTCACATTCCTGTACCGGCTTGCTGCTTTAGTTAACCGTGTGAGGCTGTCTCGTGACATTGTAAGTACACATCGTGACAATGTAAGTACACATTAACCTAAGACATGAAATGAGCGGTTTGTGTGAGAAAAACCGTATTTATATCGTTTTTACCGCTTGTAACCACAAGAGGTAAAAACAATATAAATACTATTCGTTTTCTCACACAAACTGCTTGTTTCGTGTCTTAGGTTAATGTGTACTTACATTTACAAGTCATTAAATCATGTTTAATTTGGACTTCTCTGTACATGCCCTTTGATATGGTGACCATAGACTTGCATTGACTGACAGACAAGAACAGTTTGACCTAAAAATATCAAAATTGAAACTACTGCGGAAACAAAGACACCTACACCTTGGATTCCCTTGAGGTAGGCTAAAACATAACAAAAATTAATTTCAAAATGAACTATCCCTTTAATTTGACAAGTGAAAACATTGATTTTTTTCATTGTACTTTTGTCAGTTAAATAAAGGTTCAAGAGAATTAACATAAATCGAAGATTCTTGATTTTGATGCATTTTGCAAAATGTCCTAACTTTTCTGAAATTGTGGCGATACGTCAAAGTCATCCTAGGACCCCCTAGTTGAGAACCACTGCTGCAAAGAAATGTTGTACCACAAAGTCCGTTGACAATACTTACACTTTGCGATCATTCAGAAGCATGCCGTTCATTGTGTCAATGGCTCTGTTGGCAGCTTCTTGGGTCTCAAAGTGCACAAACCCATAACCCTTTGAGCCGTTCTCATCACAAACCACCTAGAATGAAAAATAGAAACATTCACACCAAGGATAACTAAAACAATAATTATAAAGACAGAGTACTAAAAATCATTCTAAATGTAAAAGAATAGCAGAGTCCACAACACAAATATAAAGATCATGGCACAGTGAAACAATATCTTTGGAATCACTTTCAAAACTATTTTTTTCCCCAGTTGATGAAAGTTAAAGACATCGACAGTCTATCAAGATCCATACAACTTAGTATCTAAAAACAGCAGATGAAAAAAAACTGCAACACATGCTTATAATAGAGAAAGTTATCATTCGCTTGTGTGAATGCCAATATATTTATAGTTATCTTTATGGTTTTCGTTTTTGGTGTAAATGAGCCTTTTCTGTAAGGAAAATTTGCTGCATTAGTTGCAATGATGATACTTCTTTGATTAAATTCAGTTATCTTTCATATAAAAATGCCTTTAAGAAATTAATATTCATTAAAAAAACAGTGATAAAAAAGGATGTACCTTACATGACAAGATGTTACCAAAAGCAGAAAAGGTGTCATAGAGAGCCTTGTTATCAATAGACTCATCCATGTTCTTGATGAAGATGTTTCCCACACCAGACTTTCTCAAACCTGGATCTCGCTGTGACCACATGATCCTAATTGGACGACCCTTGATGACTTCATAGTTCATTGTGTCAAGGGCACATTCCGCTTAAATATAGGGGGAGGGGGGAGTGTGATTCACCATTTATAGAAGTGTTCCGATCATTTAAAATGTAGTAAATCGAGTTTAGGTAATTAATTACTATTAAAAAGTAAACTTTTCATTCCACTTAAATTTTTCTTAAATCAGTTCTTGCTCGCTAAATTCCAGAATCAAATTGAAATTAAAAAGCATTCTTACTTCAATTCTGAATGGTGCAAAATGCTAAAAGTGTCCTCACCATCAGCAGGCTGCTGGAAGTTGATGTATGCATATCCAAGGGATCTCCGTGTAATGACATCACGGCACACACGAATGGACATGATCTGACCAGCAGGAGAAAACTTCTGGTACAGCATGGCCTCAGTGACGTCAGGATGAAGGTCACCGACGTACAGAGAGGCTAATGGGTATGCTGGTCCACTACTATTCATCCTTCAAAAGCACCCCACAAAAAAGTACTTTACTTTCAGAGAAACTTGACTTTAAAGTGAATTATTTTTTACACTTATGGCCCTATTTGCTGACAAATCTTGTAGCCGATTAAATGGTTTAAGCTAGTTTGTCTGGGACTTGTTGCTTTATCAAACTTTAGATCTCATATTAAAATAACCCTAATCAAACTATATACATCATTAGATCGTTCCCACCAAGACACAATAGAGCACAACACAGTGGCATAGATTTGATTTTGAAATTGGTGGGGACGGGGACATCAATTTATATATATATATATATTTTAAGTTTTGATCGAAATTATTGCTAGGGATATATCAGTGTCACTGGATGTTGGTAGGGACACGTACCTAGCCTAAGTATGGTATCAAGGCAATAATTGGAGAATTTGGCCATTTCTTATTTTTCGGGTGGGGGGAAATGCATCTCTCATTGTCTATGGTGGTTACGGCCCTAAGTTTAAGCATTTTAACTTTTACATGTGCAGGCAAAATCAGGAAACACAAATGCAATCTGAATTTGCAGGCAGGTTTCAAACGCATTGATCGATATTCTTGCATTGACTTCAGTGAAATGGGTGCTGGTTCTTCTCCACGTTCTGAGGTGGTGTGCAGGTCTCATCAACAATAAAAGCAATTAAGCTCTTATCAGCCCCATCCAGAGCATTTAAAATGAGATTAACATTGGATAATTTCACACACACATTCAAACAAAATCAAGACTTCATTATAGGGCATAACAGGACCCATTTAAAATATGTCAGTGTCATTGCTTTGTCTCAAGATGCATCACACGGGTAATTATAAATATTTTTTTCAAAGGCATGATTATAAAAGCAACTTAAATATCCTAATTGAACTAAGGCCTAATCCTGGCTTTATCCAAGCTCTGTTTGTGAAACCAGTGCAAAGAGTGTGGTTGCTCTATATACACATTACAGTTTAACAGTTATGGTGATATTAAGTGACTTAAACTGAAATAAGGCCATATCTCACTCATCTCCAAGTCATTCATTCCCTGTGACTTACTCGATGTCTGCACACCTTTTGAATTTCGTTTGGTCACACCACAGATGTCACTGTGGCCTTAAAGCATAATTTTCCCTATAGAGGCTGCTCACGGCAGTCATGATGAAGCGTGAAGTCCAGCTTACCCTCTCTACAAATAGTTTGGGTGTAATTGGGTGGTCTACAAGGTCCAAAACACCCTAACCTTACCCATAACTCTATCCCTCCACCCATTAGATCTACAGAGGTGAAGCTGGACTAGGCCAAGCATGACATCCAGAGAGGGGGAGCTTGACGTCATTTGGCTCTGCAATGAGCACAAGGAGCACCCATTTACAGCCCGGGATTTTAATGGACAAAATGAGCCACTACAAGACACCCCGCCCTTTTTCAACTTGTGTTTTAACCAAGCGTCAACCTTCCGATCTCTCTATTGAATTCAACACAGAAGTGACTTAAAGTGCAATTCATAATCCTATATACACCCCATGTTAAAATGCCTAAAAAAAAAATAAAAAAAAAAAATTACAGCCACAAGAAGTGGTTTGTCTATATAGCTAATGTTAACCTTTATGACAACTGTGAGGGGGTGAATTTTTTTAGAACTCATAAATTATATAAACCCTTAAAGTTCTACATAATTAAGGGCGTAACCACTTGAGTCATTGCTGCTGCTGTCACTACTAGCCGTTTGTCTGCTCTCTGTTAGCCGTCACGTCACCTCAGCTAATCCTGCTTATCTTCGGTTATCTTTGCTTATCTTCGGTTTATCACAACACCATAAAATGATGCACTCCCCCTACTTCAGGCTTTTTATTATTATTATTACAGTTTATGGTTTTAACAGGAATAATCATAAATAACCAATAATATACTATACTTTTTAGGCAAACATTCTAGATTCAAACTTTTTAATTTGTATGTGCAGTATGCCTATTAATAAGTTTCGTTTCATGAAAACAAATATCAGAACGCAATACGGCTTATGCTCATCTAACAAATGTAATGTTACACAGTTGTATAAAAACTTTGAGATTGTCTTTTATTATTATTATTTGGAAGGGGGGATTAATTGCCTTACAAAATTGTTAACTCATTTACTTTTTAAAAACAGACAGATAAGTCTTATTTTGACAGGAAAAACAAAACAAAAAAACAACAAGAAAGAACATACACTGCCGTGGAAAAATTTGGGATTGGTAAGGTTTTTAATGTTTTTGAAAGAAGTCTCTTATGCTTGCCAAGGCTGGATTTATTTGATTAAAAATACAACAACAACAAACAGTAATATTGTGAAATATTACAATTTAAAATAACTCTTTACTATATTAATATGTTTTAAAATGTTATTTGTTAGTGTGATGCCAAGCTGAACTTTCAGAAATTCAGAACTCATTCTAATATGCTAATTTGATACTCAAAAAACATGAATTATTATCAATATTGAAAACGGTTGTGCAATTTTTTTTCAGGATTCATTGATGAATACAAAGTTCTATTGCATTTATTCAAAACAGAAACGTTTGAACATTATAAATGTCTTTAATCTAACTTTTGATCAATTTAATGCATCATTGCAAAATAAAACTGTTGATTTAAAGGTGCAATGTTTAAAAATGTTGATAATCTATTAACAGAAATGCAATATTACATCCATTACTGTTTTCAGTGGTGTACAAAGAACTTACTTAATAAACCGTAATGTTTTTTTATTACCTTAGAAGGGGGTGCCTGTGGTTATGTAGATATAAATCTCTCACTCTGTTTCTACCGTAGCCGACAGCGAACAAACAGATAGAGCGCGTTTCGTCACTACCTTGAAAGAGAAGCATCCAGCAGAAAGCTAGAAGCTAGCCATAAACACTGCGAGTAGTGACTTTTCCCTTGTCAGTGGATTGTTTCATGTAACTTAGTTCTTCACCCTCACTGTGTTATGGCTTTGTTACGTGCGGATAAATGTGCTGGTTACATTCGTGAGACAGCTGATTAGTACTCTTGTCACGGACCATAAAACAGTATGTTAAAGGAAACACCAACCCGTTGATTGCGGTTGACTTTTCAAAGAATCAGAGGAAAAAAGCCTATTGTGTGTAGTAAATGATATCTAGGGCAGTGGTTCTCAAACTTTTTCAGGAGGAGCCCCCCTTGTGTAGGGTGAATCCTTTTGTGCCCCCCCAAAAGAAAACTCATAACGAAAACATCCTCAAACGTACAATTTTACTTACAAATTTTAGATTGTACCAAAAACAAATGAATTTGTACAATGCTGGAACAACAGTTCTGTTTTTAGCTTTATGTCTTTGAATATACAAAATTAGTTAAATTTTACATTTCATTAAATATAACATTTTTTTTAATAAAAAATGGTTTTGACAGTTAACAGTAATATTGTCTGAAAAGTGCAACAAAAGTATTGAATACTGAACATTTGTGATGTTCATAGTAAAAGATAAACACTGAAAAATTAATTTGCTAATTGTAAAAAAGTGCATTAAACTTCTTACATTAAGGTAGTAAATGACAGTGGCTCAAGTTTGGTTTCCAAATTTGAACAGCAATCTGTTTTTTCAGCAAGAAACAAAAAAAAAAATTCTACTCTACTTAAAGAAATACTTTTTCAATATAGAAGACATACAATTTTATACAAGTTTTACAATATAAAAGAAATCATGCAATGCAGATTTCACATAGGACAATCCAAACTTACATACAGGTAAAATAATTTTTTTAAATAATTTCATATTCTAGAATTTCTTTGCGGCCCCCCTAGCGCCATCTAGTGGCCCCCAGTTTGAGAACCGCTGATCTAGGGGATGCGGAGGTGCATGCTGTTACAATCATGTCATTTTTGTCTTTACCTTTGGGCTCATGCAGACAGTCACGTCGTGTTTAAACAAGGCTTTACGCTTTAACCAGCTCTGCCACAGTAACAGCTCATATTTAGCCAGCTAAACTTTTAAAACCCTGTTAGAAAAAATATATAGTTGCATAGTTTCATATGGTTCTTCTCCCTCGCCATACTGTGGGTTTGCTATGTGGGGAGAAATGAGCTGGTTACGTTTGTGAGACAATCAGCTGATTACCATCATTATATTATATATTAAGACCCTTAATCCTCACCTGGCTATGGCTTTGTAAACTTTATCCATTATGTGGTTTATAATGGACTGTGGCACTATGACAATGTTAAACAATCTTGGCCTACTCTGGCTATTCTCTGCTGTCTCAGACAACGATATGTTTGTCCCGTTTTAGCCAGCGTAGCTTCTTCGAAAGGGAGGGGTGAGCAGTGGACTGAGCCCTTAGTGTAACTCGCAACCGAACTGCTAGATTTCGCTAATAAATACACACTGCATCTTTAAAACTATTGGAAAAAAAAAATTCTTAACACATTAAAAATCTTACCAATCCCCACACTTTTGAACAGCAGAGTATATAGCACCAAAACTTTTATCTCTAATTATCAGTCACGCAATAATGTAAAGATGCATAAAGGCTATGTTAAATATCGAGAGAAAGCGGACGTAAAAGTCATGTGGATCGACTTACGAGGTGCACAACTCTTTATACGCTTTATTCACGGCAGCGCCATCTTTAATTTTTAATGAGAAAGAAAACGAGGCTGTGAGGGATAGACTTGCATCTCTTCAATGGGCTGTACTGTTATTTAATGTGTTTTCGGATTGCAAATTATTAAAAATATCTGAAAAAATATTAAATATAAAAAAATAATAAAATAATATTAAAAATAATAAAAAATAATTTTTTTTTTTTTATTTAAAATAATAAATAATATTAAAAAAAGTTAAAAATATCAGAAAAATATCTTTCCAAGAAGTGTAAGTTGACAAAAATATCCCGACAATGTAAGCTGTGGAAAATTGTAAGTAATCTAGCCGCTTTATTCAGCTTTTTACAGCGGATGCCATTGAAAACACAGTAAGTCTATCCCTCACAGACTCACTTTCATACCAGTCATGGAACTACTCTGAATAAGGTCTATAGGCCTAATAATATTTAGAACCTCTACGAAGAGCTGGGCACACACAAGCGACAGGAATTTTCAGGTGTAAGAACACCGCTTGACACTGTTTTCACCATGACTTGAATCACCTGTGATTTGATTTCTCCCCGTCATTGTGTTCATGATATTATATATAGCCCATATATATGGTATAAAACAGCAACTACGTCACATTACAGCCTAAACATAAATAGCAAGAAGTTTACATAGTCATAAATGCACAAACTATTCATTGCGCACTAGCAAAAGTGTTTTCCAGTAGATGGCAGCAATAATCCACTAAACGTTTCACATTTTTCGCCATGAATGAAACGTAGATCTTATTTACTGTGAATGTAACATAACAATTTTGCTATTTTAAATAAACCCATATAAATATCATTAGTAAATTTGGCAAATCAAATTTAAAATGCCATATAACCCCCACAAATTCTGCAGAACAGAGCAAAAAACATTAATAAAAAAGTGATATTACATACTTTTTTTAAAAAAACTGACAAGATTGCTTTAAAAAAAACACTGTGGTACACACTAAAGTTAAATAAAAATAACTGCCATTAATACATCACTTTACCCCGATCTTTATCCCCTTTGTCATCTTCTCCTTCCCTGCATCCTTCACAACTATATTTTTTACGGCCTGTGGTCACAATCAGATAACGTTCACCACATCTAGACCTGGCGCGATGGCGCGAGCGGCCATGCCCGCTTCTACATCGGACGTGGCGAGAGGCGACGCAACACAACAAATTCCCAACCATTAACTCCACGCGCGTTCTTAAAACAACAAAAAACAAACAAACAAAAAAAAAACACTGAAGGCACGTTCCATTTCTGATGCGCCTCATGCACTCGCTAGAGAGAGACGATTGATGCGGCGGGCTGGGATGAGTCAAGTTTTTTTGTGCGTTTTGCTTGGCTTTATTTGGTAAAGAAACAACACTCATTTTGGCGCCTCTAGTATTAGCCTATTCCGCGAGCTGGTCCGGCGATGTCCACTCCGTGTCTGAGTGAGCAATGGCGATAAAAGTGTTCCGAAGTTTGGAACAGTCTACTTTTAACAGAAAATTCTAAAGTAAAGGCGTTTAAATCACGTGATCCGTGATACGCTTGCTCTAGGCTAGCGTTAAGCCTTAGCCTACTCTCGTGATCTGCTCTGCGGTATGAGTTGGGCATAGTGATGCATGCTGCCATTTGCTTAACTTTTATTTATTACTACCTCACTTGTCTTCAATCACTGCTCATTTTCAAATCCACTGAAACCTTCTTAAAAATAAATAATAAAAAAAAGATTTGCACTTTTTTAACACTTGCATGTTAAATTGCACATGCATATGCGATATTGCAGCCTATTGTAGGCCTATACGTAAATATGCTAATATGTGAATCGTTAAAATTTGGCACTCGCCAGCTGGTGTATCGTTGTCCAAAAACTCAATGAACGTTTTATTTTAACAACTTTCAAAACAAGAAACCCTTTATAGAAACAATGTTAGTTACAGTTACCTGGTGTAATGTGAAGCAAATAAGCATATCCTTCAGTGAAAGCGAGGGCTCCACCCCGTTGTGACTGTTTTAGTGTCAGTTTAATTATTACTGAGGAACACCTGTAATTTGTAACGCGCTCCAATGTGTACCAATTAACTCATCTGTGAGAACTTTTTTCCGTCTTGTTCCGCGTGTGAAAGTAGTTCTTGTGAGAGCTCAAAGTACAATGATTTATTGATATTACTTCCTATGTAGGATAAATTGGACACGTTGTTAATTTATTGTCCTAATTTAATGACTACGTTGTTAATTTTTGTGCTGTAGTAGGCCTACATTCAAAAATCATCTGTTGCTTATTTTGGGAACATATATCTTCATTCTAGACTCTTGTATATTACTATACAAGAGTGCCTAACTCTCCAAGTGTGTGTGAGACATATTTTATTTAAGTAAGTATTAATATGTAGCTTATCCTTTATCTTTATTGTATTTTTGGTTTATATTATTGGCTTCAGTTCTTTATTAAATTATTACATTAAATTAAAAAATACTCAAGATCAGGGTCGTATCCCTAAAGATTCTGAGAATCCTCTCAGAGAGCTCCTAACTTAACCTAAAAATTCCTTGCCAGGAGTTTTAGCTTAGAAGTGATTTCAGAACATTTTCAATGAACTCTGAGCAAGGAATGGATGGAAAATCCAATCTTAGTGAGGAGGTGTGGTTGACCCCGTTGCTAGGTATGAGTCATCATTTCAAAAGCCGTGATTGGTTGATCCTACAAGTTTGATGAAAATTAATTTTTGGTGATAATGAGCAAAGGATGTACCCTCAAATCAATAAACATAATTATACACTCTAATCTTATGCAGACTGTAATATTTCACATTCAAGAAAATATCTGGAAAATGAATAGGAAGCTGTAGGAGTTATAGCCTAACATAAGAATCTAAAATTTGTGAAAACTTAAGCTCATTACACCCTGTTCAAATAATGATTCATGTGTTATTTGCTCATATTAATATCCTAGCTGGCATTTTGTACTTTCACTCCCATATGGACCCCATTGAAAACAAGATGGCCTATCTCAAGGGAATGTCCTTAATGAAGTAGTTACAACTCAGTGTTGTCTTAACGAGGGTAACACGGCTCAGCTTTTATCAATGTCTGTGATTGCTGGCTGGTCTATTTATGAAGGCTTGTTAACAAATATCCTACAAACACAGAAAATGGAGACAAAAAAGGAAAAAAAGAAATTTTGTGCAGCTGCTTAGGGGAACTCCTAAGCCACTAAAAGTCCTCTTCCCTACTCTTAGCAGATCTTGCCATGGGAGCCCTTTTAAGCGCTAGGTATCTTGAGGAATAGCTTTTATATTAACTGGGATTTTCATGTCACTTTTAGGGGAAATTCTAAGAAAACGTCATGACTCTGAGAATTTTCTTAGAATTTGGCTGCTAGGAGCCACTTTTTGCACAAAAATTCTTTAGGGATACAGGCCCAGGGCCCATATTCATAAAGATTCTAAGAATCCTCTCAAAAAACTCTTAATTTAGCTTTAAAACTTTTACGTAGGAGTCTTAGCTTAAAGAGCGATTTATCCTCTTTTTTACCTTGCTGTTAATTTCCTAATTTGATTGTCTTAGAATGATAAAAAAAAAAAAAAAATCCACTCTTTCCAGTTACACTGATTGCTGTGGTTTGAATGTTGGTTTTAATATAGCAAACATGGAATAAAAAACGAGAAAGCCCGACTGGACAGAAGAATAGTATTTACTAGTGGATGCTATCATTAGGCCATCATTAAATGAAAATTCAGGCCGGGTGTCACAGCACGGAGCAAGAAGCAGACGTGGGATATAGCACATTTTATTAACGGTTCATTCCCCTGCTTTGGTGCACCAGGGAAGCCTGCTATATTCATAAATGCAGTTTTTTGAGCCTGCAAGGTGTGAATGTCCAGTGGAAATTCAATAAACAGCGACACAATAAGAGGTTCTGAAAGTGCTGTAATTGTTTGTGTGATCACTGCTTACTGAAGGTTGTGACAGACCCAAATCACTGCTGCTTCATTGTATTTTCCCATTTGCCAAATATATGTGATTACTTTCATTTCTGGCGTTATGGCATTCCTGCGCTGTGTCTGAGATATTAGTTAGTCTCTAATAAAATCAGTCAGACGCTAGATGAGATCCCTGCACAATCTCATCTAGCGTCTTATTAACGCACTGTCATCCATTGTCTCTTAAAAGTCCTCATCTGTACTCCTAACAATTTTGACCTTAAAGGGTTAGTTCACCCAAAAATGAAAATTAAGTCATTAATTACTCCCCCCCCCCCCCCCCCCCCATGCTGTACCAATCCCGTAAGACCTTCGTTCATCTTCGGAACACAAATAAAGATATTTTTGATTAAATCTGAGAGCTGGATCACTACTACATAGACTGCCTAAGGGACTGGCTCTTGACGGCCCATAAAGTCATTAAAGAAAATGTTTAAATATTCCATGTGCCTACAGTGGCTCAATTATAAGTTTATCAAGCGACAAGACTACTTTTTGTGCGAAAAAAACATAAATAACGACTTTATTAGACTATTCCATTACTTCCTTATGGGCGCATGCACGAGAACTGAGACAAAGAACGTATATTGACAAGAAGTGAAAGCCAATAGAACGTTCCATTGCAACACCAGTGCCCAGCAGCAGCCCTACGCTTCCGCCATTTCGGGGTGAAAGCGACTCGGCAGTCATATAATATACATATATTTAGTCCAGTGCAGAGATCATTTTTTAGGATGAAATAATTAGGCTAGGTGATTATTATTTAACTCACAACAGTTAACTTTATAGCAGTTAAAAAGAAGTTGCTACTTAGCCAGGCTTTCACCCCCACATAACTTGAAACAGAGAAGTTCAAGGATTTAATTCATTATATTACTCTCCACTTTAAGTGTGATAAGTAAGAATAAAGTGATATCAGTTCATAAAGTTATAATAACATTAGACCGTTTCCCGGGAGGTACACATAACGTTACTTACAAAAAGAAGTTATCAATGAAATAATTAAATTCAGCAAATAAATGTTGTACTAAAATGTAAATGTTTGACAATAAATATATAACAGCAATAGAATAGCTTTACAGTAAACAGTTTTTTTGTGTGTGCAGTACTAGCCTATCTTATATTAATGACCGTTAAAGCAAGACCTGTAAACAAACATAAAAACCCAGCCAATGATCAAATTGGCAATTAGTTATTGAGAATGAGGAGTCACGTGCCTATTTGGGCGGGGTCTGAGCCATTCGGCCATGATGGTAGGTGACGCTATCGGTTACCAGGGTTTTTATAGGTTTTTAACGCAGCAGTTACTTCCAGGCATGGTAAAACAATGCGGTATTGCGAGAAACTCCTCTACTACCGAGCTAAAAACACACGTAATCAATACTGTTTTGTCGTGGGAATCCTACCAATATGGCGGAAAGGGGAGGGGCACTGTAAAATTATGTCAACTCCTCATTCTCAATAGGATAAAGGACACAGCGCATCAATGATCATCATGTTTGTAGCATGATCCAGGGGATTGAAACGTCCAAAATATATTTCAGGCCTAGTGGAGTTGGTAACTAATAATAGTAGTAAAAGTGTAAAGTTGCATATGTAACCCCTCACACCCGGGTCCTACTCGCCCCGCTCCGAGTGGGCCTCGAACCCGGGTCTCCGGCGTGAGAGTCGGACGCTCTAGCAAGGAGGCTAAAGACTGCAGCCTCTAGCGTCTGTCGCTAGAGCGCCTATTGAGATCGGGGAGTGAGGTTTACTCGCACAGCAACTACTAGCTGGCCTCCGTTACACTCACCCCCCTAAACCTCACTCTCATCCGGGTCACGGCACCAATGTAACCCCTCACACCCGGGTCCTACTCGCCCCGCTCCGAGCGGGCCTCGAACCCGGGTCTCCGGCGTGAGAGTCAGGCGCTCTAACAAGGAGGCTAAAGACTGCAGCCTTTAGCATCTGTCGCTAGAGCGCCTATAGAGATCGGGAAGTGAGGTTAACTCGCACAGCAACTACTAGCTGGCCTCCGTTACACATACAATGGAAATACTCACTAATGCAAGAAAAAACTACCTCAAAAAACTGTTATCTGTGCTGTTGTCCAGTAACTCCAGTTGGAATTTTCACCCTGATATGGCGCCCGCGCTACCGAAGCTAGCGGCTGTTACCAAAAAAGCATCAGAGTTTCGCCTCTTGTTCTTCTATACTCTTTGACTGAGATGACGATGTTCTTCTTCGACTACTTCTTGTTACCGACTGCTCACCGCTTAGGAGTATTACCGCCACCTACCGTATAAGATGATGATCCATATATAAGGCGCTCCGGATTATAAGGCACACTATCGTTTTTTGAGAAGTTTAAAGGCTTTTAAGTGCACCTTATAGTGCAGAAAACACAGTAATTGAAAAGCGTATGTACAGGGCAGATCTTCCTCTGCTTGCAAACAGAAAGTTTTGCACTTCCAGCTATATCAGCACATCATATTATACGGTAGGTGGCGGTAATACTCCTAAGCGTGGAGCAGCCGGTAACAAGAAGTAGTCGAAGGAGAACGTTCTCATCTCAGTTCTCGCGCATGCGCCCATAAGGAAGTAATGGAATAGTCGAATAAAGTCGTTATTTATGTTTTTTTCGCACAAAAAGTAGTCTCGTCGCTTGATAAACTTATAATTGAGCCACTGTAGGCACATGGAATATTTAAACATTTTCTTTAATGGCTTTATGGGCCGTCAAGAGCCAGTCCCTTATGCAGTCTATATACGACTGATCCAGCTCTCAGATTTAATCAAAAATATCTTTATTTGTGTTCCGAAGATGAACGAAGGTCTTACGGGGTTGGTACAGGATGGGGGTGAGTAATTAAAGACTTAATTTTCATTTTTGGGTGAACTAACCCTTTAAGACCTCTTTTAAGGGTTAAGATTCTTACTGAATTATTATGTATTTTGTATTTTATTATGTAATTATTATGAATTTTGTCACTAGGAGCTACTCTTTGCATTAAGATTCTTTATGAATACGGGCCCAGCCCAGGGCCCGTATTCATAAAGATTCTAGGAAT